CAAATAATGAACTCCCTTTTTGACAAACTTTTGTTTTCTTCAGAATTTTCTTATCCAGTGCCTGCTAGCCTTTTAGAGTCTTTTACATTTTCTGGAGTATCAAACTGTTAAGATGATGTTTCAACATCTGGTGAACATCAGTTCCTTTCTCAATGAACAAATCATTGATCTTTGATCCTGTACTTCTCTTAGTAGAGTAACTCAGAAGCATACCTTGTTATTTTTCAAGGATTAGATAAGAATCTTTGAAGGCTTCACATATAATAGATTCTTATTTGCTATAGATCACAACATAAAATCATATGTATGCCTCTATCCCCTAAGACGCTCACCTTATATTGGACTAATCATATCCATAAACAGTTTCTAGAGATTTTGTACCTGTCTGATGTTGCACCCTCTAGTATGACATCTTGACTTCATTTTCATTGAACATGAAGTAGGAGGATAAGAAATTAAATACTTGTGGAATCCACAAATATCAATTGTTCTTAAATCCTCATAAGAACTTCAAACATCTCAGTAGAGATAACACATGCTTCCTTGATGACATTTACCTTCAGACCTTGATCACACAATTGACTTAGGTATAAACAATATTCATCAGTCCTTTACTAAGAAGAATCATTACCAAACTTAGATAATCCATTATGTACTCTTCATATATCCAATACGCTTAACCTCCATTTTTATAATCATCACCAAAAGAATAAGTTGATAGAGTGAGACTAAACAAACCATCAGAAACACCATTACTGCAGTTAAGTGTCTGGAGTAGACAGTGTCAAAATACCAATCGTCTTAGTTGGAGTTCTAAGAAAGGTATGAAAAATAAGGCAATTAACTCCTTTCCTGAGTTTTAACAACTTCTTGGTTAACCAAAGTTGACTTTGACCTTTGAGGAAGACAAATAACAATAAAATAACCTGTTAAGATCAACTTTTCACAGAAGAGACATCTCCAGTGCAAGTATCTTCCTTTAGCTTGAGTATTTTGATGTCTAGCACAATATTGAGACATTAAGATTGACATCCTTGACTCAAGTTTCCTTTTGATGGAAACAGTCTTTTGTCACTTAAGTTTTCTTGTTGCTAGGTACAGCATGAAAAACCTTATCCCTTTTTAGGCTTCCAATTATCTTCACTCTTGAAGAAACTCATCTAACTAATCTGAACTCTCCTTACATACTTGATCAGGATATCAAGTTTGAGGATTAAAAGAGTCACCTTACCCTGAAAGTTACAAATGATAGACAAACCTTCATTCTATTAAGTAATAAGATAAGAAATAGTCACCTCCTATTTTCTTCATGGTTGACAACCCTTTTATTCTAGATACATAGATCTTTGAATAAAACAGCCAGCTCATCATGAGACAAAGCTTCAATACATGAATCTACAATAGAAAAACATCTTCCAGTCAACCCAGTAACATTCTTGACAAACTCATAAACAAAATCACTTTCTTCATTAAACCAAGAAATAGAAAATCCATGCAGTTGTTCTTTAAGATAGGTAAAGCATTTTGCTTCACAAAGATCCAAGGCCTTCACACTCATTTTATTGAATGCTTTTACATTAATTGCTCTTTAACCCAGCTCAAGATTTTTCTTGAGCCTTACAGACATATTGATGTCAATACAAATGTTATGGATATTTGGTCTAGACATTATGTCCATTCTCCTCAAACCTGGTTGAATTTCCTTTTAAGGAACACAATAGCAATAAGAAATCCTTCACTAGAGACCATAACACAAGCTTTTGCATACTTGTAAAAAAAGCCATGCTTTTGTTCTTCTTCAAAATTTGTAACTTCCATGTAAAACCTCTTTGAATAGAGATATGAGTTTCTTCCTCTTTCTTCTGAACTCTTTTCTCCCAAAACACTTAGATGTGCCTTTATGAGTGGACTTGAGAATTTCCCAAGTATCTTTAGCTATAATACAAGTGATATTGAGTCTAAACAAAAGCTTATCAATTATGATATTGAAAATTTTAGATTTACAAAGAACCAACTCATACTTTTCCCTTTTATCTTATCAGAACCAGGATTCTCATATCCTTACAATTCTCCAAGATCTGATGTCCATTGAATTCCAGATTGCTATCCTTCTCGCCTTTCAATAAAAGAATAGTAGTAGCAGAAAATACTCCCTGAACTCACCCAATAAACAGACCATAGTGTCTACCCTGATGCCAATTGAAATTATGGAACTTGCAACACATGTTAATATTGATTACCCAATCATCAGAATACAATTTCAAGACAAATATTAAGACATTGGTTCCTGATACAGAATAATATCAAATTGTAAAAATAAATTGTAGAATGATAAATAACACAACAGATTATTAACCCATTTCAGTGCAACGTCATCTACTCTAGGGGCTACCAAGCCAAGAAGGAAATTCACTATGATAGTACTAGTTCAAAGCCTAAACAATCTCAATTTACAGCTTCTCTCCTAATCACTATCTTGTGAAACTTCTACCTAGAAATCACCATCTAGATAGGAGATCCCCTCTCACTTCTAATCACCATAGTGATACCTACAGCCATAAACCTTGTGAATAGACTTAAAACCAATCACAATCACAATGATGGTATAAAAGAAAACTCAATAGAAGATTACACTTCAAATTAATAATACTTAGTTAAGACTCTTAACTAAGAAAAATACTTGGTGTTGCTTAAAAACTTCAATTAAGAACAATCTCAACTCATTATCTAAAGACTTATGAGTGAGAACATTATGCCTACCACAAGCTTCAAAAGATACAAGGGTGACTTACAAACACAAGAACACAAGAGACTCTCAAAATCTAAGACTTAGACTTCCCCTAATTTTACAATTGTGAAAGTTCAATTACATTAGGTCTAAGGTAGTCTCTAAATACTCCTCAATTGTCCATGGGTTTTGAAATCTTCACCCAAATATTCCTTGATCCACAAGCTAGGGGTTGCACCAATTATGCAGGAAAAACTCCTTAAATCTTGGAACAAATATTTCAATATTTCTAAATTGTCTCAACAACCAAATTTAGAAACGTTAATGTTGTTGGAGATTTAATTCTCTTGTTCCAAATTAAATCTTCTTGACCTACGCAAATCTTTGAGATATATCTAAAAGAAATATCACAAAAATAAATCAAATCTATCAAGATTTAAACAGTCTGTATTGATATTCTGTTTCAGGATGTTACGACATCTTTCAAAACATTTACCTTCAGTATAAACTCATACTCTACTGTATCAGTTTGATCAAGACGTTATAAACTCTTACTTAACATCATTCAGGAACCATGTTTTAGCAAAATTGTTGTCAATCCTAAAACCATAGATCTGACAATGCTCACTTTTAAGCAAAACACGTTTCCCCATGGTGGATACCACTTCTTTTGAAATTGAAAGGTTCAATCTCACTAATAAATTATATGTGTGGGGTCAAAGAACCATGACAACCAAAATAAATGACCTTTAATAAAAACTCTCTATGAAATAAGATAACAACTTATAAGAAGCACAACAACTTCTTTACTCGATTTGATTAAAAGATCTACTCCGAATAAGAGAGGAGCTGATTCACTATACTTTCAAGAGTTGTTACTAAAGATTACAAATGAGTTACAAGGAAGTAGTCACTCAAATTTCAAAAACAACCCATATTTTTTACTCCAAGTGTTTCCTTATCTCTTCAACTTTCTATATATGAACCACACAAGACCAATGTGTTCAAAAGTGATTCTAAATTCCTCTAAAATATCTTCAAAGATTTCCATACTTCCAAGAACACACTCTTAAGAATTTACCCTTATCTCTCTAAGATTATAATTATCACTAGAATTCTTAAACCTTTCTCTTAGTCTTATGCTCTAAAGTTCTTAAGATTCTGAAGACAAGAATGATAGAAATATATATATTTATAACCGTTGAAACCCAACATATCTATAACAAGTCCAAAACATAACATTAACAAATAGATCCACGTAATAAAATAACAAAGCTCAATACACATTAATCAAGAAAATCTAATCCAAACTACAACGAACCAAACTGTCAATCCGTTGGCCTCCTGCCATGTTGGCTCCACCTACGACCTCTTATCATTCCACCGCACTGACACCACCGCCAATCCTAGTCGACTTCTAGATTGATTTTTTAATTTCTGCAATCTTGTAACATTTTTCATTTTTCTTTATCTCTTAAAGTTTTAAGAGATACTTCAATAAAACTTATTATTGTTTAATTTTTTTAATTATTCATGAACAACCATCATTTTATACATAAAGCACTTAAAAGAAAAAAATACCTAAATGATCTACTCCTTATTGTCTCTTATTTGTTTTAAACACGCTTAAGAACATGAAAGTAACATTATGATACTATGTTAAGAAAAATCTTTGTCTTTCTAGTTTGTCTTGATGCCAAATGACATATATGTCACTGTTTTATTTTCCCCATCACATTCCATTAATTTATTACCCTCTTTTACTTTGCATGACAAAATGAACCAATTTTCTATAAAGATTCATGCATGAAAATATCTTTTTAGTCAAAGAAAAAGTACTCATGAGTCATGACATCTTGTCAAATGATAATTTTAGATGAATGTCAAGTTACTAGCTAAAGAGGATATAGTTAAATTTATAGTTAAGGTTAGACAATTCAAACTTGATCGAATGACCAGGACTCGTATGCATGTACACAAATTCAACCGATTTATTATGATCAAACTATTCAAATTTCAAAGTTCAATCTTGATATGATGATCAAGATGGGTAGGCATAAAGAAATACACATTGAATTTGAAGTATATATTCCCTACCTACTGAACACATAAGGAATCAACTTTTCTGACACATCCTTTTCCTCCAAAAGAAAAACAAGTTACAAAATACTAGTACTAAACAACAATAATCATTCAATAATAATAATTCTGACATTTGACCTTAGTTTCCTAGGCTAATGTTTTTTTTTAATGTCAAACTCAAACATTACATTCACTCATTCCACAAAGCAAACATAGGAACTTGATTAACCAAACCCAAATTCCCAAGTCTATTGTTGTTCATGTGGTCATTTTCATTGTTTCCGTCATCAAACTTTGGTCCTTGGAGTGTGAAGTAACCATGTCCGTAATCTGCTCCACTCCCTCCAAACTCATTAGGTAATTTAAGACTTTCAGGGTTCATCTCATTCTTGTTGCTCGGCGAACCGTGCTGTGACGATTCAGCGACATCGGTGTTGTTTCTACACTCGTTCTGCGGTGGTTGCTCATCCTTGTTCGAATTCCACACCATGTTGGACAATTCATCAGAATGTTGCTGTTCACGGTCAGTAATAGCTAGAGAAGACGGCTGAGAAGGTGTTGACGCACTGCCGCACGAATTGAAGTCCTCGGCAGTGGCTACAGCAGGAGGTGCGGATTCTTTAGGTGACCGTTTCGCGAGATCTCCGGCTATTAGAGTTGAGCTTGAGCAAATTCTCTTGACATCATACCTACTTATGTCAAAGTTGGTCACAGCACTTGTTCCTCTAAACTTGATTGCTGCAATATCATATGCTTCTGCAGCCTCCTCTTGTGTGCCTATAGGATAAAATTTGTTACATCAACTTCCTAAGTCGTCGTAACAAACGGGTTCAAAATAGAGATGGAGGGTAAGAGAACTTACTAAATGTACCAAGATACAAGTCTTTGTTTCCCGCAACCCTTCCGATTCGAGCCTGCCACCTTCCATGTTGATGGTGTCTGAAAAATTGAGACAACAAGAAAAAGATAAACTCTACTCAATAATTGTTCACCTATCGATTAAAAAAAAGCTGAAATTACAGCAAGAAAATCACTTTAGGCCATACCTTGTCACACCTCTATACACAGAAGCACCTCTTGAAAATCCACTGCTCTTCCTGTCAATGTAAAGCAAAAAAGGACAATTCATTCCATAATTAATAAAATTGGTGAAAAGGAAAAAAATAATGAAAAAAAATTTAATGTTACCTTCTTAAATTGGCCACAAATTCTTGCCTAGTCATGTTCTTCATTTCTTCAAGTTCCTTCTCATAAGTGCTTAACTGAGCATTTAAGAAAGTAGTAGATACATAGAGTCACTCATCACAGTTACTAACAATGTAATGTTTCAAAGTTCAAACTGCATACATTAAATACATATAAGAAACATTAGACTTTTTTCTAAATATTTTAATCTTTTTTGTTCCTTCTATTGAATTTGTATAAGTGCTTTTTTCTAAAGGAGTAAACTGTGCAAGATTCAGAAAACCTTACAGGGAAATTTATGTGAGTTGTTGGACCCCAATACTTGAGTGCAGCTAAATCATAAGCTTTTGCTGCTTTTTCTTCCTTATCATAACCACCTAATAATAATGGAAAAATAAGTTATTAGTTGCCAAATGTCATAAATAATTTTGAGAAAAACCAAACACACCCTCCAAGGCTTTATATTGAGTAATGAATCTAATCAAAATCTTGGTAAAGAATTAATGAGAGAGAGAGTTGTGAAAAACTTACCGAGATAAACTGTGAAAGATTTTGAAGAATCCATGAAAAGAGAAGAATCCAACAAAACCTTAGTCAATGTGACAACATAAACCAAAAACATTAAAATAATCAAAAAAACATAGATGTTTGTTTCAACCTTGTCTTCCTTTCCTTGTTTGTCCTTCTTTTCTGCAACTATTATCCCACAAATGTGCTTCATATCTCCCAGTCCATCTATGCCTAAATAAATCCATCAAATCCAAAAAAGTAAAAACAAAAAATCAACAAAAAGTAACATTAACAACAAAAAAATGAAATATAGTACCTTGTAACACCACGGTATTGAGAAGTTCTTTGTCCAAAAGTATCAATAGATTTGCGAGGGATAGGTTCTCTAGCAGAACTAGATTTTGACAAAGACCTTTTCCTAGGATCTTCATTCATCTGAACATTAGAAATTGCACCAACACCACCAACACTAACACCATTTGGAACACTTGGACTCATAGTCAAATTAAGAGATTGAAAGCTGCAACCATTTCCATCATTGGAACTTTTCCCTTCAGAAAACTGAGTTTGAGTCATCCAAGACTTGTACATAGTACTATTGTTGATTAAAGCATGATGATTGTTGTTGTTATCGTTATATGGATGATGGAAAGAGTGAATCAAAGATTGGTTTGTTAGATGGTTGTGATTATGATGATTCTCTACTGTTTCAATCTCTGTGTTATTGTTGGTGCAAAAACTTGGTGAAACATTAACATTGATTTTGGAAATATTAGTATTATTCTGGTTTTGGTTTGAGTAACAGCCCAAAAAATCTTCAAGTTTTGGTCCTTCTTCATTTGAATTTCCACCTGTTATTGCATTCTCATATCTCCATTCTGTCATCACAAAAATCATATACAAACTTTTATATAAAAAAAAAAAAGGTGCTATTTTCAAAGGATATAAAAAGAAACAATTTTTATAAACATGCAAATTGTTTTGAAAAAAAATAAAGAATACCCTTTTGAGTACTAATGAAGAAGAACAAAAAAAAAGTTATTAGAACATGCAATGATATAAATATGTAAATATATATATTATACCTTGAGGTGTAAAGGAATCAGAAACACAAAGTGAACCATCAGATCGTAGAGGCATAACAGAAAGATGATGATGATGATGAGGATGAGGAGAAGAAGAAGGAACATAGTTTCTTCCAGTTTCTGAACCTTCTCCATGGTTTTGATTATGGTTATGGTTTTGGTTTTCTGTAGCAAATTCTTCACCAATCCTCAAGTGAGGAGTGAGAGAAAATCCTAACCAGTTACTCATATTAACAAACACAAAGAAAATCTAAAGAGAGGTAACGTTGGAGTTTGAGCTTAGAGATGAAAGCTAAGAATGGTTTGGTTTTGAAAATATTAAAATATGATAGTGATAATAATCATATGAGTTTGATATATCGTGGGTTTGTTCTAGGCTAGGATTGTGAAATGAGTGTGAATAATGAATAGATATGTGTTGATATATATATATATATATATATTATATTTTTTTGAGGATGTTTTTTTAGTGATGTTGTGTCGTGTAATATTGTGAGGAAATGAGAGTGTTGGGTTTTGTGCCAGCTCTTTCATTTCTTTCTCAGATTTCTGCAGAAGTGGCCACGGCATGTAGTACCAGTCTAATAACAAAATAATCTATTTTAAGTTTTTGATTTTTATGAGAGAGAGAGAGAGAGAGAGAGAAGATGACAAATTTTTTAAGGTTTTGATTGAGTAGAGGTTTGTGTTATGTTTAATGTTTTTGTGAAGTGTTGGATTAGGTTTTGTTGGGAAATGTGATTTGATCAATGGTGAGGGTTGAATTAAGGTTGTGACATAGTGTGGTTTGTGGAATTGTGGATAATTTTGATGATATCAGCTGAATCTAGTAAGAAAAAAAAATGTAGATTGTTGTTTAATATAATAAAATTGTTCTCCTTCTAAAAAAATAATAAATAAATAATGGAGTACTAATGTACTACTAGGTATAGAATTGGAAATTGAATTTTGCTTATATTTTTATATAATTAGTTTTAAAGTTTTTGTTAACATGTCCACTCTAGGAGTATCAAGAAAAACAATGAAATTGCCACAAGATATGTAATTTTTTTATAAACTAATTTTAATGAATTTTAATTTATTCTGTTTTTAAAATAATATATATAATAAAACTATCTTCAAATTTTAAAGGGTATTAATGTTTTTTTTTTGTATTCATATTTTTTTAATTATATTTCTACAATCTGCACTAATATTTTTAAACAAATATTAAATAAGTTTCTCTCTTGAGACTAAATTTTATAAAATTATACAAATAATTAATATAATTTATACAGGAAACAATTTTTTTTAAACTATTGTTGTGTATGCTATATAACCTAGATGGAGCTAGTAAAATTGAAAAATAGTAATCATATATGTACATTGAAAAATAATAATCATATATGTACATTGAAGAAAATAGTTATTTTTAATAAAATAAAAAACTTGATGATAATTAATGATTTATATAATTAATATTTTTTTAATACACTTTTGTCAAATGCTTTATTTGTTTAATAAAAGCAATGGATATCAAGGCCAACAGGGCCCAGTTCTTAGGAAAACAAAGGAAGTACCGATTGAAATATCTTCTATCCACATTCCATATTGGTTCCTATTTGAATTCCATTCTTTTTCTTCTTCTTTTTTTAATTAAAAATTTTGTTTTATTAAAAATAAATGTATAGCATTCTAATTATTTGTTTCAAAGAGTTCAGTTTCAATTTTATAATGTTTTTGTGTGCTATAAATACAAACAGTTTTTATTATATAAAAAAACAAAAGAAAATGTTTGAATTTGAAGGCATGGTGGTTTATGAGGTGTAATAACGTTTGCATGCAAAATATATATTTATTTATTCCTTTCTCATCAAGACTTATCTTATCTTTCAATTAAGAATTTGACCCAAATAAATGTATGATTGGTTTCAATTGGACCGAATGGAACCAATTGGTTGAACTGGCTACCACTTGCAATTGCCATGCATGGATGGTTAGAGGCCACTGGTCATTGCAGTGATGGCAATTGGTCCAGATCCACTGTGAAGTGTGAACAGTGCAACTAGTTAACCAACAACATCACTTCTTCAACTTGTCCTCTACTCTCTACATTTCCATAATGTTAGTTCATCTTTTGGATTCATACTCATCAAATATCCAAAAATAAGCATCAGGGTCAGGACTGTCTCGACTGTCTTTAAGGGTGTGCAAGTTTTGTGATAAGTTTGGAGGGAAACCTAGAAAACTCCGAAACGGCGTTAACCTTTGTTTTTATGTTGGATGCTATTCATTCATCTATCTGTCTGTTGCATTGCATTGAAGCCCATGCAGATAGCAGACTTTGAATATCAAACCAAACAGGTAGTGACTTGACTGAGTTGCTCAATTCCGCTCAATGTGAGTTACTTTCGTCACGCGCTTCGCAGTGAATTCAATCAATGAATCACATGCTTTTCAGTGACCATTGTTCATTCATGCATGGAGACAAATTGCAAAGGTCTTGCTAATGACACTTGTTTGAAGTTGTAATATTAAACTATTAAACTAAGGTTGACTACTTCTTCATGGTTTAAATTCAATAAAATTATTGGCTAAAGCTATATAAAGACTATCAACATCCATAACATAACTATATTGACATGAATGAATAAAATTAAAAGGGTGATTCCAATAATGTAAATACACTCCTATAAATTAAAAGGTATTTCAAACCAGAAAATTATCAAGAGTACCGTGTTAGTTTTTGTTCCATTTCTACCTTGTCGGAACCTTCAAGTTCACAAGAAAAGTGTAGTTTGATTGTATGCAATTGAAGTCTTGAGTTTGATGTATTCACAATTTGAAATGTGTAGAGCAAGTATATCAATCAGCAACTTTCATAGTATTAGCCCCATGCCATAGAACATGCGTAGTTGACAACCAGTTTTCCATCAAAACCAAAATTCTGAAAAATCGGGGTGGAACATAAGAGAAAAGAAATAGCATAAGAGCATGTGCTAAATAAACAGCGTAGTTAGGCTGTCTAAAGGATACAAAACAAGTAATTAGAATCATGAATACGCTTGAGACAGTTTGGATAAAGAAAATGGAAAGTTTACACTAACAGTGATCTAAAAATGCTAGAGTTTTGTACTAAGCATATTGAGATTATATGCACATTGAGATATAATATGATAATATTCTACCATCTACGGGATATAATAAATTAGCATAAGCATTTCCTATGAGCTAATGATTTTAATATAATTATTGAAGTTGTGGTTTGTGGATAAAATAAGGGGAAGAGATATAATAAAGACTTTGAATAAGATAATCGGGTAATATTATTGATAGTAATATTGATAATGAGTCCGGCTCCTTTTGCCCGCACTTTTTTGCGGGGCAGCACCCTCTAATATGAACGCCCCACCCCTCTCTGCCCCCTTTTTTTTCGGGCACGGGCATTAACATAAAATTTTGCAATTTTTAGGCTTAAAAGATGCAATGTCTGCGGGACCGGCCCGCCTTGCTCTCAACTTTTGCAAGACAGACCAAGGTTTTAGCCTCACACCCTCAACTATATCCGCCCCATTTTTTTGCGGGCTTTTGCGGGGCAGGCATGACCGTTTGTCACCCCTAAGTATTAGTAACTTGATACAAAAGACTAACTACTAAATCATATTCATAGAAATACAAGACTCTTAATCTTAAGAGATAATCAAAGATACTCTAATATTAGAAACTAATCCTATGAGATAAACTACGATACTCAAACATAATACAAAAATATTCTAAGGTATTTTCTAATATTCTAACTATATTACTTGAAACCAGACACTTAATAATTGTGACCATTATAGCTGACAATGTCAACATTCTCCAACAAGCTAGTTCATGTATGTCATTTACGAGATGGCTTGACAAACATGACTCATGGCTTACAAAAACCAGCAAAGCTTTAATGCTTTAGTTTTATTACTATTTCTGAAATTTAGATTTCTTTCTAACTTGCAAAACTAGTTTTATAAAGAATTTTATGACCTCCACTACAAGTAATCTGAAATAATAGATTCTACCTCTTGAGCAAAATTTCTTAAGGTGCTGAGACTACAAGCACTTTAAGTTAATTAGATTCTACCATTTACATGAAATAATAAATCTGTGGAAGCATTATGATAGGGACTTAGGTATTATAGGGTGTCCAAATCCTACATCGAGTAGCGTGAGATGCTAGGTGGGTATTGATGTGGCTTGGCTCTTCCCCTTTGATAGCTAACTTTTAAGAGAAGGTTACCAAAGTGTTTGGATATTTATCAATTTGTACATGAGCTGCTTGTCAGTGGCTCAGAAATGGCTACCTACATCGGAGCCGCCAGCGAGAAAGCCCAAAGCATCGAAGAGTGCAGCTATTGTATCTTAGGAGCGGAGCTATGATAGGGACTCGGGTATTATGGGTGCCAAAGTCCCATGTCGAGTAGTATGAGATGCCTGTAGGAGCATTAAAGTGGCTTGGTATTTCCCCCTAGTAATAACATATTAGTCGCAGTACAGAACCTCAACAACTACCATACTACTCTCTGTCTCTAGCAATTCTCCGTCCCCCCAAAACATCAAGCAAATACATGTCATATACTCCCTTCGTCCCTCAATATTTGTTATATTTGATTAGTTCACATAGATGAGAACGATGATTTTACCAATTTGTAGAATGTGAAATTAAAGTCACCTTGTCTATTTCTTCATCAAGTAGGTCTAGGTCAAGCAACCGCTTGAAATCAAAATATGAAAATGGAAGGGAAAAATTAATGGACGTGGTATTTCCTTACTTTATTTGTTTTTCGATGTTGAAACTTGAAACTATCTTATGAGAGCTAAAAATGCCTGTTATCTATTTTTTACAAAACAAGATAGCCACAAAAAAGGTTAAAGCAACTTCTAAATGTACTATTTAAATTTTACAAAACAAAAAGATAGCCACGAAAAGGCCTAAATCTACAATTTTTTCCACAGAAAGAGGTATTATCAAGATATGATTCATAACTGCAGAACCAGAATCAGGGATATGCATCATTCACATTCAACAAAAATATTAAGAAATCGATAGAAAAAGGAATCCAGTAATTACTTACATTATACAAATCTACGACCAGTTCATCAGGGTTTGGTGAAAAAGCACTGTTGACATATACAAACTGCAAAACACAAAAACAAAAACTTGAGGAAGCAAAACTTATAAACAACCAGATTGTGGTTGAGTATATAGTAATCGTTTACCAATGTCTCCCTATGGAGCTGTCTGCGAAGAAACTCTATCACTTTGGCAAATTTATCAGTTCCAGCTATCTGCTATTTCAAATATGCTTAAAGAGTGGTTTAGCACTTCAAGATTTAAGAATACTTATCAAACATAGACAATGACACCGGACACGACACTGACACGTCCTTTCACATACACACGACACCGACGCTGACACATCAACACTGGGACGTATCACAGGCTTACTTTGTAAACCCTAATTTATGTGGTGGTAACTAACCCATGTAGAACTCAAAACTACACCTACTAGAGTTCAATTTTTTTTCTCAATTCAGGAAAATAGTAATTTGTAAAGGGGCTGCTTCAATTAACAATTTTTATGATAAATTTGAAGAAATAAAAAACACCCATTATCAGAAAAGACAATACCTTGAATTTGGATTGTTTGAGAATAGGAGCATCACCGGTGGCTCTGAGATGAACAACCACTGTAAGAAAAGAACGAAACTAAATCAATTTGAAAAGGAGAAATTCGAAATTTGGGTGATTGATGAAAAAGAACAAACCTTTACGAACAGAAGTGGGAGATTCAGCAGCCATGGTCGTGGGTTCTGAGAATACTGAAGAACTTTCAAACCCTTTTTTCTTCTCTATGGTGTTGATCCTTCTTTTTTCCAAAAAGTTATTTAAAATTTGATGTAATATATATACCTTGTTTTTTTTTTTTTGAAGTATAGAAATTGTGTTTTTCTTTTTACTATTTGATTAGATGTTTTTAAAGAGTAAAGATAGTATTTCATTAACTATTATTTTTATTAAAATTATTTCTAATTATTTATTTATAATAGAGAGAAATATGTGAAATTAAATAATTAAGGATTTTTAGATAAATAATTTTAAAGTGATAATTAAAGAATCAATTGATGTTTTTTTTTTTTAAATTAGTAAGCGTCACTTTTTCGTTTAGAAGGCTTATTTTTCTCTTATCTGATTTTTCTTCTTTTTATGGAGAGGATGCATCGTTCTCTAATTGGGTTTTCATATTCAACGAGAATGATGGCCTCAACATTGTAGGTGAGTTTAAAAGGTGTCTTTTCAGTCGGCGATATGAAGTTGTATGATATGTTGATAAAATATATGGAAGCCCCTCTATCAAATTATTCTTAGATCCGTCTAGTCCTATTAATAACACAATATTAACAATTTTGGCTTGCTCATTGGTCTGGAGATGCTTTATTGATGTGACATGGTGTTTGATCGAAAAGTCTTCAAAGAACGTCTTTAAGTTCTTATCCGTGAATTGGATTTTGTAGTATGTGATGACAGATTAGGGGATGACATATCTTGATAAAGCGTTTCTTTTGAAGAATTTCTAAATGTCAGTTGATGTGATCTAAGTTAGGGCTTCCACTTCGATCCACTTGATGAAAAAATTTATAGCAACAATTAGAAATTTTACTTGCACTAGAGCTAATGGGAAGGGACCGAGGAAATCATGCCCCGCATGAAGAACGTCCATGGTGTAGTTAATGTGTTGAGCTCGAACGGATGTGCGATGTGAATGTTCTCGTTCTTTTGACAATATTTGTGTTTCATGGCGTAACGTGTGGCATCATGAACCATTGAAGGTCAATATTACCCGACCTTTTTAGCAAGGGCATTCCCCCTAGATATGCCTACATGGATTTCGGCGAGGATATATTCAACATCCTCTCCTACTAAATATTTTAATAAGGGTGCTCATACCTCTTATGTATAATCCCTCTCCTATGATCGAATATGAGCACATTCTCCTCTTCACTAGACTGGTGTCATACTCCAAATTTGTCCACCTTATTTTCTACAGTCGAATGATTTTTAAAATTGGTTTTTTTAATAAATTTCTTTGGTTTACTTGCACTAATATTTTAGATTTTATAGATATTTTTAATTTTTATTCTGCTTATTTAAAAATATATAATAGTTTACTTTAAATTATTTGTATTTTTAAATATCAAATATTTATCCACCATTCATAATGCTTTCAAATGCTTTCTTATTTTGAATAAATAAGATATCACAATTGATAATGAGGAAGGGTTTGCAAGTATGAGGTCATGGGTTCGAATCTCACTATAACACATTTTAACATTTTTTTCTCATTTTATTGTACTAACTTTATTTTTATTTTTATTTTTATTTCATTCAAAAAATCACAAAAAATTATTTTAATTACTAATTTTTGTTTTTTATTTTAAGCATTTTTAAAAAATATTATTTTTATTTTAAATAAGGATTTTATGCATTTTTAAGTCAAATAAATTTAAAAAATCACAAAAAAAGAAAGTTTTGATCAATTTGGTTTTATTTTTAGCATTTTTCAAATCTTGGGGAACAAGTAAGAAATTTTAGGAAAATATCAATTAAATCATCAAAATCAAATTAAATTTCACATTAGACTTTTAAATGATTGATTGATATTTAATTATTTTTCTTTATTTATTGACCTAATTATCCCTATAAACACACTGTTTTCACAGTTTTATTCATCAACGATCATCCACACTCTCCTCCATAATTTTGCAATCCACACATTTTTTTTTCACAATTTCAGTCACACATACGACAACACTTTTTTTTCTTTCAACAATTTTCTACTCTTTCACAAACACACTATTAACCATCTTTGTTATGGCCAATGATTAAATATGAGACCGCCCTTTTATTTCAATTTTATCTTTATCTTATTTTTAAATTATTTTCTATTTTACACCATATGATGTTTAGCTGATGATTTTATCTTTACCATAACAATTGTATATAAACTTTATTTTAGAGGTCAATTCTCATACACTATTTCACGAAGGTCATTCTAACCCTACACCAATTAACACTGAGATTTCAGCGTACACGAATCACACAAACATATCCATTATTTTTCAAAATCCCTTTTCCAATCAACTTAGTCAAGCCCTTGTGCATATCTTTTCTCTAACACCACTTTTGTCTTGTACATACTACTTTTTCCAAACAAATCTCCAAGACCATTTTTCCATTCACACACTCATTCACTAACCCACGAACCAACACATTACATATCTCTCTTTGTCACGTAGTGTTTTTCTTCCGAAATTAAAAACCGTATCCTAGTTCAAACTAAAGCCAAAATTTTCCAAGAGTCCTTTAATCAGGGCATGGTGCTTCAAAGTTCAAAATAGTGGGGTCAGCCATCTCAAGTGCACTTCATAGCCGAACCACTTCAAAACCCATATCAAGGAGAATCTCTATAAAGACCTAACATATTAAGGCAATACATGCCACGAAAGGGGAAAGCTTTCCTCCTATGATCCCTAGTGAATCTCTCTCTAACATCAGCAATATTCGAGTTTGAAACGAGTATCAGGAAATCATGTTGACATAACATGCTACACCATCGTGTGACAAGCAACCTTATTACACAATCAACCTCTCAATCTTAACCATCCACGACCCACCATAGGGGCATTATCAAAACATCCAAGTCATTATAATTCATTATCATGCATTTATTAGGTCACTTCGCTCTAGCACTGAGACATGCATATCATCTCATTCATCTAGAATATTCCCATAACATAATCTAACATCTACAAAAGCCCAATCCCACTTGGCATTTACACAACAAAATTTGATTTTTACAAAGCCCAACCTTGCTTGGCACCCAGTAACCTTACTGTTTGTTCGTTTTCCCAATCACCTGATTGATGTTTCCTAGTAACCTTACAGATATCACTAACCTTACTGATTGTTTTATTTTCTAATCACCTGATTGACGTTTCCTGATAACCTTACTGATGCCAGTAACCTTACTGATTGTTCATTTTCCAATCACCTGATTGATGTTTCCCGGTAACCTTACCGATGTCAGTAACCTTACTGGTTTTTCATTTTCTAATCACCTGATTGATGTTTCTCGGTAACCTTACTGATTCCAGTAACCTTACTGATTATTTATTTTCCAATCACCTGATTGATGTTTCTCAGTAACCTTACCGATGCTAGTAACCTTACTGATTGTTCATTTTCCAATCACATGATTGGTGTTTCCTGATAACCTTATCGATTCCAGTAACCTTACTATTTATTCATCACTTGATTGTCGTCTTTTGGTAACCTTATTGATGCCTATCATCAAGTTATTCACCTTTTGATAACCCTACCGATACTAGTAACCCTACTGATGTGTGTTTCTCAAAAACCTTTTCAAAGCCCAGTTCCTGTCTGGCAAATCATTCCAAAATCCAGTTCTCGCCAGGTAGCCTACCTTCAAGTCAGCAATTCAACTTCATATAACATGTGCATCGCATTTATCAATCATAGCATAAGTCATCGTCATTCATTAATCATTCCACTTTCCTCATAACATTATCATTATCATATCAATCATACATTGCGAAAGCATATGAAGATCATATTCAAAGAAAGCAAAAACACACATTCAAAGATCAATTCAAAACAAAAAAGCATATTTCCTCAGAGATCAATTAATATAGAAGAATCAATGATCCAACGAGGAAACTTTCAATAATTGCATGTTATCTATAAAAACAAATTTTTATCAAAACATAGTCCCTCTAAACATGCATTGCATCCAATCACACATGCCCTTGAATACTTCGATAAAATCTTAGGCCTATTTACCGGCTAAGTCACATATGCAAATCACAAATTCAAACCTTAGTATTGTTGCACACTATTACAAATAGCTACCTAGGTTAAGAACAAACATAACAATTAGAGGTACCACAACCAAAATTACACTGGGCGTTATATCTACGATTCATATCTATAGCCTAGTTATTCAAGTTTCAATCATCAATTCTCGCTTATCAGGTTCAATTATCAAGTTTCCATTATCAAGTTCAATTATCAAGTTTCACTTACCAAATTTCAAAAATCAAATTCCAGTATCAAACTTCAAACCCTCATTATTTATCCCCTAGGGTTTGATAAATATGCAAAGTCTGCGATGCAACTTACTATGTTAGTCCCGAAGAGTTATCAAGTTGTTTTCAGACCTTTTCGACTCTATTGGTTTAGTCCCTTGGTAAAAATAGAGTTGATACCCACATTATCTATCCCCTAGGTTGTGGTAGATGTGCGAATCAGATATAAGTATTCATATGGGTCCCTGAACAGCGATCATCCACGATCTCCTCCATTGTTATTTTCACAGTTTTATTCATCAATGATCATCCACACTCTCTTCCATAATTTTGCAATCCACATATTGTTTTCCCGATTTCACTCACACATACGACAACCCTTTTTTTCTTTCAACAATTTTCTACTCTTTCACAAACACACTATCAACCATCTTTATTTTGGCGAATGATTAAATATGAGGTCACCCTTTTATTTAAATTTTATCTTTATCTTATTTTTAATTTGTTTGCTATTTTACACCATATGATGTTTAGTTGATGGGTTTATCTTTACCATAACAATTATATAGAAACCTCATTTTAGAGGTAAATTCTCATACACTATTTCATGGAAGCCATTCTAATCCTACACCAATTAACACTGAGATTTCAGCGTACACAAATCACACAGACAAATCCATTATTTTTCAAAACCCT